AATTGTGGTTTGTTTTATGGCTTAGTTTTTTAAACATACAGCCAGTGGTGATGATGGTATGCTAAAGGACACGGGAAAACTTGTATATGGAAGATGGGGATGATGTTCCGAAATTTATTTTTTCCTTTGTTGTAGGAATTGGGGTAGGGCTTGTTGAATTTTTTGTGGTTACTACTACATAGAATATGAACATATGATGGGAGATAGGAAGAGGGAACGACGTGGAATGTTTCCCTGAGCTTGATTCAAAATGCGTGGATAGGTAGGAAATAAAGAAAATGTACAGTGTTTATACAAAGGATGGATAGTTGGAGGAAATTATTATTATTATTTTTTCTAGTTTCTTGAATTATTGAGACATCTTGAATACCATGTTGTGAGATGGAGTGCCTAAGTATTCTCTTCCACACAACAAAGTCCTTATCTGTTGAATGAAAACATAAATAAGTGGGGCTTCATTGCGGGCTTGAAGAAAATTAAAAAACTGGGGTCGTTGGGTTTGCTTTTGCAGTGAAAGCGAGGGCGTTGTGCTTCAAAGAGTTTTGTGGGCATGAAAAGCAGAGAAAGGAAGAGAGAGAGATGCGCTGGCGTTTCTCGTTTTTCCTCTCATTTTGTTCACTTTCTCCTGCTTTTCACTGTTTATGTGCCTCTCATTTCAGTTAATTTTTTTAACTTAAATTAGCAAAATTTGACCAAATTTTTTAATCTTTTTGGTATGCGAGAAAGAAACCAACGTACCTACTCTCAGTAATCACATCACGTGGTGGAACCTGGACTGCTTGCTATTAAATCTATCTCGGTAACAATTAAAATTGTTATGTCATGTGATTGAAGGCAAGGCAAGTCCATTATCTATTCTTTATCCACTGTAAAATCACCACTTAGCAGCAGCAATGCTCTGTTGTGTTTTGACCTTAGTCACTTTTGAGAACCTTGGTAGTGTAATGTCTGCTGGCTCAGAATTTACGTCAGTTTGAGTGGGTGGGCCCATCGCCATCTGTTTCTCTTTTCAGGAAGCTAATAAGAGATTATGGATTTCAAGCGTGTCTTCCACGTCCCTTCATTCCACTCCCCATTACAACAAAACTTTCTCAAACAATAAATTTACTATACAATCCATGTTCGCTTTTAAATCATTTTATTCTTGTGCTTCCAAATCATAATCACTATCAGATATGGCATGCCACACTGAATATGTCAATAGCAAACTGTTTTCATTAGATTGTAAAATGATTATTTCTAGAAAATTAATTGTTACCATGTTATAAAGAGTTTATTATAATGTTTGCAATTCATGGTTACATTAATTATTTATGAAATATAATTGTGGAGGAAAACCCAAAAACTAAAAGTTGTCACTTGTTAGATAAATTTTAATTTTTGCATACGGTAAATTGATTTTGATAGTCTCATAGGTGGAGGGAATGGGACCTAGATCCCACATTCCCATTTAAAATAGTCACAGAAACAAACAGGAATTAGGCAAGAACATTAAGTGGCCGTACATCAACAATTCCGGGATTGGTTTCTCAACGTGTCTCCATATGTTCTTTGAATCGCCTTTCGTTGTACTTTCCCACTTTTTCCACGTGCATTTCAACCCATACAGCAAATACATTCCCAACACTTGGTAAAGTAATAGCTTTACTACTACCAAAACAAAAACAACACTTTCTTTTAAATTCAATAGTCACTCCCAGCAACTTACTGATTACCCTTCTTAAATTAATCCCTATTTGCACTTCTCATACCTTTTAAAAGAGCTCATTCATCTCGATTTTTGCTCAATAGATTTGCTAATGCAGAAAATCCATTTCTTCCATCTCTAATGATGGCTTCCTTAAGCCTTATTTAATTAAATCATTTATAATATAAACTATTCAATTCATGTGGCTAACAAGTGCGTTCAATTTACATTTTACCATGTTGTACTTATATTTAATACTATAGTATCATATAATAATGTTTGAAAATAGAATATGTCATATTATTCCGTACATTTTGAAAACTTTTGATTGAGTCAACACAAGTGCTTACCAAATCCTATGGTAAGTGAGCATTGGAGCCTGCAACACAACCCAATTGCAAAATAATCAATTCATTGAATTGAAACAATCGTCGTGGGAATGCTGAATGCATATATAATAATATTAACAAAAGCAAATCCCTAAGATCTGTACTCAATTGGCTCATGATGCTGGATCTGTCTGTTTGGAACCGAAGAAGGATAAGAAAACTGCATTGCAGAAACAGCCAAACAAGGGAAGGAAAATAAGCAGAATTTGCCGCACATGTATCGATATTAACAATAGTTAGTATCATATTCATATTGGAATGAAGATAATAAAACAGTAATGGGGAAGCAACATTTACGGAGCGAATTATTTACTATATGTCTTAACTTTTTTTTTTTAATGGATTGAAGAAAAACAGAAGGACTGCATAAATTAATTTTCTTTATTTTTTCTATGTTACGGGTACTTCTAACTCAACATGTTAGAGACTAATCTTACATAGTATTATAATTATAGTTGATTTGATAAATTTTTACACTCGACAAAAAATGAATATAATTTTTTCATCAGATAAGTTTTTTTATTTATTTTATAATGAATGAGTGTAAAGTATTTTAATTACTATGTGGATCCTTCAAGATTAATTAATTTTCTTTATGAATTACTCAACTGGTTTATCTCTATAAATTTCTCATGAGTCAATTAAAACTAGTTATTTCTTCAAAATTGTACCCCATGAGAACTTAAAAATACAAAATAGAAGGCATGTAAGGCTGTAACAACTAGGGTAGGCCTGGCACATGAGACAGATACTGCTATTTGAGCTAGCTAGGTAGGTGGTAGATGTATTGGCATACCCAAAAGGCAATTTTTAAACGATTTTAAATGAATAAAAAAGTAATAACAGAAATAGATAAAAAGAGCATAGTCAATTGTCAGTTGTGAAGAAAAGGGTGTGAGAAAAAATGTCCAATATAGTCAAATACTTAACGTGGATACTCATACTACTAACACAATGTCCATTATGATCCAGGTTGTGTTCTCCTTTTGGCCAGGCTTGTGGTGATGATAGAACCTAAATATAGTTCTACTGTGTTTGTTTGTATCTGTGTGTCGCAGAACATTTTACACACGCTGATTCTTGATCCAGATTCGGACTGCCCCATAAGAATGAATGGAAGTAATTATGTATGTTTGCTTTGCACGATACTTGTTTTCACCAATATAAATAAGGGTAAATTTATTATATAAAATATTCCTTTTTTTTATCATCTTAACATCTTTATCCTAGTTAATTTTTAATATTATACTAGATCATTTTTTCATCAAACGTTCCACGTTAACTATTAAATGATATTTAAAACAAAAAATTGTAACAATTAACTTGATGCCTTGTTAAAATTTATTTATGTTATTATTTAATTATATTTTGTTTATGTTCTTCACGAGCTCAAATAGAAGCTGGATGTGATCACGAGCTTCATTGGTACAGGATTGTATGGTGGTCTACTGTAAAGGTTTCCATCACGTATTAATAAAGGTTGAGAGTTCACCTATAATAATTTCGATGCTCTAATAATTAATACACTAAGGTTTAAAGCCAAAAACGCGAGGGATTGAGTAAATGAATATTTTGTAAAAGTTGATTCAAGGTATTAATTTATAACCAAACTACATAAGGATTTAATATAGGTTCAGTAACCCTAGACTAGACGGTTTTAGTTACACATAGAGACAATAGAAACTAGAAAATAAATAATAATAAAAAAATTCTAGCATCTTCTTCCTTAAAGGCTTCCAAAATTGTGACTCGGAAAAAAGCATTATGAGTTTCAAGTGGAATCGCTTGATGTTTTGAGACTCGAGTATAACATCGTTATATTCTTTCTCCATGATAAGACATAAGTGGCTTAATTTCTAAAATGAAATGAAAAATCAATCCAAATTTAAAAAATTACTTAAAGTTCGAGTCTACCATGGTTTGACCAACTTTTTGAGTTAGGTCAGAGTCGCTTATACACCTACAAAATCTCATCAATATTAATGCCTAATGGAGAACAATCAGTAAGTTCAATAAAATCCATGCCCTCTACTTCATATTTTAAAATTGTATGAACCATCAAACAACAAATGGAACAAAATGGTGTGATGTAGCTTAGTTATTTACATTGTATTATTTTATTCGTGTTGCCAACAACCATCAAACATTTATAAAATGACACAAAATTTTGACTCCTACGCGTAGAATAAATTTTACTAGAATAAGGATATAATCCAATAGAAATATCTAATAAAAAAAAGAAAAAGAAAATAAATATTGATGTTAGTTTCATTTAATTTTGTTTTTTCTTCTCTCATTCCATTATATATATGTTATATATTTTATCTCCTCCAAAAAAATCTTTGTCAATAATTTTAAATGTTTAGAAGTAAATATATATTAAGTATTATTTTAAATCATCAGATATTAAACATTTTGATTTAACCCCAAGCGTGTGGTTCAGCGGTAGGGGTTGATCCACGCTTAAGTAAGGTCACGGTTCGAATCCTGTCTTGTGTATGAAAAAAAAAAAATTAATTTGATTAGTTAATCTTGCTCTAAGTGCATGTTTTACACACTTTATACCTTAATTTGAAGAGTCTAAATTAAGTTTTGAGCAAAAATAACATGGTGGATAAATTATGATTGTCTTTATATTCAAATATAAACTTTACAATAAAAGAAAAGTTAATAAATTGCTCTATACACTTGACTAAACTATTTAATTTAACCACATAATTTTAAAATACGATGTAATTTTGGTAAAATGGGGAGCAAAAACAGTAGATTATGATTTGATTAAAATATGGATTGAAGGATATTGTTAAGGTGGATAAGGAGGAATAGGATGACGAAAGTGAGAGTTTATGAGGTCATCAGTTAACGCATTGCCAACACTCATTAATTGCCTGACCGCCACATGTTGCCACAAAGCTCCAATCCTCGCCAACACTAGGCTTCTCTCTAAGGGGACAAACCGCCACCTTTCCTAAAATACCCCTCAATATTCTTTTTAATTTTATATTTTCTTACAAACAAATTATTAACTAATTTATTAGGTGCTTTTTCAATCAATGACTCAGATTCAAAATACAGACCCAGCTATCTCACCCTTTAAGGTATATCTAACGTAACAAGGAGATTAATCACTGCTATAGGCGGTGGATACTCCAGGAACGAACCTAAAAAAATACAGAATAATCAACGGCTAATAGTGCTTGGTGTGCACTCCACATTTTGAGGTGCATTGAAACACGTCCACCAAAAATTCCAACATATTTCAGACTCCGTAAATAACTAGATTTCTCTAACATGTTGTAGATAATTGCATTTTTTTTATTACTCGTGTAAAAAAAATGTTTTAATAGGAAAATTTAATAATATCTATACTTGGAAATAA